TGATCTTTCCACGGGATAAAATAAATACGATACCCTTGGAATACTCTCGGGTGAAATGCTACAATGGTATATCCGTGCGCTTGCGGATAAACTCTGCAACCATAATATACCAGAAGTATTTCTGCGCCATTGCTGGAAATTATATTTCTAGTAATATCGTTAAGAAATACCAACAAAGTCCTAGGTAGAGTCCTGTCTTATACCCCAGTTGAGCGCCAGTGAAGATGGAGCCGTAGGCCCGCTAGTCCGCTACTGTTTATTTGTGTTTGTCAGGCCTTAAGTGCCTTTGTAATAATGTAAATATTATCGATATAATAAAGATGTGTCTTTTGTATCATGTTTGTGTGGTGTACCTTGGCTTTTCAAGGATGGGGATAAATACACTACCGTTCAGGAAAATGTATTTTTCCAGGCGCGACAACATGCCCTTTGTCTCCACTCTTGATGAACCCTGAGTTCCTCTCGACACTCAAGGCTGTTGTTGGCCCGATCTTTCGGTGAGTTGTGATAACTACGATTTGGGAGAAACGTTGACGATCCGACTACAACCGTACGAGACGTTGTGTTGCGCCTTAGCGATCGATACACCTCTCCGTGGGTTGTTGATCTTGCCGGTGCAGATCAACCCTATTCCTGCAAGCAAATCGAAGAAACAAGCAAGAACAAGATAAAAAGCAATCTGATATTGCAAATAGGAATTTAATACAAATGATAAGTTGGGGTTCCGAAGAACAAGCAGACGGACGGTCTAGCCGACACGCGCGCTGCAAGCAAGTAGCAATGGCTAAACTTTAATCTAACAAAACCCCCCAGAAACCCTGAAGGGGTAACTAGCTAAATATATGGGTGGGAGGACGACCTAGGGGTGCCTAGGGTCGTGCTCCACCAGCTTGGGGTGCACCCCACATGGGCCCCACCTGGGCCGGGGTCCCAAATGAAGTTACAAGCCCATAGGCCCATTACAGGTGTCGCAGCATCTTGTTTCTTCAGTTGCTGCCGACTGAGATGGAATTTGGCAATGAGGCTTGATGCATTGGAAAGAGGACTCCGAGAGCTTTCCATCAAGTACTCACGGGCCGAAAACGGAGGTCGTATGGAGCTTCGGCGGCCGTTTGAAGTCAGCAGTGTAGCAGGTGGCCGAATTGGATTTTGGCACTTGGAGGACTCGAACTTGATATCTTGTTGTTCATCCATGATGTGAGCAACGGATGTATCCGTAGTAGCCATGGTCACATCATGCTCCCCTTCTTCACAGAAAACCGTCCTCGGTTTTTCCATATGGTGTTCTTCATATAGTCCATTCAAAATAACCTGTTTCATCCAATCAAAACTGGAGAAACTCGAAGTAGTGTGATTAGCAATAACATGTTTCTCTAAATCCGAACAAATGAAAACTATATGCACCAAATATATTCCTCTATCATTATATTTGCCAAAGATATGAAAAATAGCATTAGTTGGACATAGCAAATCAGACTTAGCAAATAATTTCTCCTTCAAATTATCGAGCTCACAAAAATCATCAAACTGAATATAGCCCAAAGTATTTAAAGAAGATAGCAATTTACGTTCCTCAACTTCATTAGCAATGTGAACAGCATGCTTAAAATCAGCACACAAAGAAACACTAGGAATAGCATGTTCATTCACTAGTTGTGGCATGGATATAAGTGAAGCATTATCACACAACTCTTCTTTATCACAAGGAACAGCGAGTAAATCAACTTGTGACAAATGAATTCCAGAATTTGGTTCCACTAACGGTTGCTCTACTTTTGCATGAAAAGTGGACAAATTTACTTCGTTAACAATGCACTCACCTTGATTAGTTTCAGTACCATTTACTTTACCTTGGATGTCCTCTTTAGATGATGGAGGTGTCTCGAACTTGAGTGTGAACAATGGAATTGGTGGCTCTTTCATGTCTCTCTCCTCCTTTTCGTGATTACGCACTTCCAGCAAATAGTTAGTAATTGGAGGCAAAGACATAGCGTGTTTCTTTTTCATATCCTCCTCTATTTTACTTTCAGCATTGCAAGCAAGTTGTAACAAATGAGAAAGAGATCTATACTTTTCACAAGCAAGCGTGTCCTGAATTTCTTTGTTAAGTCCACGTAAAAACCTCAATTCTGTAGCTTCTTCACATTCATCTAAGCCACAACGTAATAAACAAGCATGCATATCATAATAGTATGAAGTAACACTTTTGGTATCTTGTTTTAAACATTGCAGTTTGTTGAGCAGAATATCAGCATAATACATGGGAACATAAACATCTCTAAAATATCGTTTCAGGTCTTTCCAAGATTGTGGTATTTTGTTATGCCTACAAAGATGTTTCCAATCATTAGAAGCATGTTTAACTAAAACACTAGAGGCACACATAACCTTTTGTTTCTCAGACAAGACATGCCTTTGAAATTCACTATCAACCGCTAGCTCCCAATTAATGTAAGCATAAGGATCATAGTTTCCCTCGAAATAAGGCAGTGCAGATTTGATCTTACCTAGAACATCGTCACTTACCTCATAAAGGTCATGTTGATCACTCCTCATGTCTCGACGAAGATGTCGATGGTGAGCATAGCTATCCCCAATTATCGTGCGTATCCCTGCCATTGTTAGTAGAAAACAAGAAACATATACAAAAATATGCGCGTTCCTATTAACTACTAGGTAGTGGCAGCTCAAAAATCACACACACTCAAGCTTTTAACCAAGCTCTTACAAGATCTTACCAATGCAAGCGGAATGGTGACATACACCGACTCAACCAAGCACCCCAATGGAGGTTGGATGTATCGATGCCTTGGCTAACACTTGTTGTACGGCTGCAATCAAATCTGTGGAGCTCTGGGTAGGCTTAAATATGTAGCAAAGGAATAGCAAATGCTCAAATCAGAGAATGCAAAGTTGAATAATTGTTCAAAGTCAAGCACCGTGCTGGTCCTAGGCTAGAACGTACTAGAGACGCGAGCCTAGACACAAACGATACCACAAGATAGCACTAGGAACAACTCATGCACAACTCTGATATATGAGTTCAGCTCAAACATAACAATATTTTCTCTTTTCTTTCTTTCTTCTTTCTTTTTTTTCCTTTCCTTTTCTTTTCTTTTTTTTTTGGGTGCGGCTTTTCTTTTCTTCTTTTTTTATGCACCATTCTGCCTTTTTTTTCTTTCTTTTTTTTTTGATTTTATTTTACAAAAACAGATTAAAGGACCTCAATGTAAGATTACAGGGACTCAAACGTAAATACAAAATTTACAGGGACTCAAATGTAAAAGTTAAAACCCAAAATTAGAACTATACAAAAATGGAATCCTCTCGTCCTGTAGGTTCCGTTTTTGCAAACGGATTTTCAATCCGATACTCGAAAAATTTTCACCAAGCAGTATGCAAGATCACGGTATAGATTGAAACCGTGACCGAGAGGAGACACTCGGACTCGGCCTGGTCGCGGACCCGGGGCGGTGGTGGGTGAGGAAAGGAAGGATGCGGCACTACCTAGGAGTCCGGTTATGGTGAGAGAAAAAGGGAAACTGATTTCAATCAATCTGATCTACTATTTCTTTCCAGATTAAACTCTCGCACTTCCAAAAACAGATTTGGAAATTCTTCTTCCTCCTCTCTACACCGGCAACAAGCACAGGCCGATCTATTCACGGGCAAACCAGAAACTCAAGCAAATCCTAAATGCAACTCCAAAACTGACCGATAAAAAATTCTGAAAACTACAAAAACAGAACCGTGGCAGCGAGCCGATTCCGTTTTCGTAGGTCCCGACAACAACAGAGACACGGTGGCAGCGACGACTGTGGTACAAAACGTGACCAGAACTCGAAACTCTAAACGAACTAGACGCTAAGACCAGCAACACGACGTGACGATGCAACACAAAATTCAACAAAGCAAAAACTGAAAAGAACAATGCAATGGCACAATATGGCTAGGTAAGTAATACGAATTTTTTTGTATGGCTATTTTCTGGTTATAGGAAGATAAAAACTCACCGAGCAACGAAAGCTCTGATACCACCTGATGAACCCTGAGTTCCTCTCGACACTCAAGGCTGTTGTTGGCCCGATCTTTCGGTGAGTTGTGATAACTACGATTTGGGATAAACGTTGACGATCCGATTACAACCGTACGAGACGTTGTGTTGCGCCTTAGCGATCGATACACCTCTCCGTGGGTTGTTGATCTTGCCGGTGCAGATCAACCCTATTCCTGCAAGCAAATCGAAGAAACAAGCAAGAACAAGATAAAAAGCAATCTGATATTGCAAATAGGAATTTAATACAAATGATAAGTTGGGGTTCCGAAGAACAAGCAGACGGACGGTCTAGCCGACACGCGCGCTGCAAACAAGTAGCAATGGCTAAACTTTAATCTAACAAAACCCCCCAGAAACCCTGAGGGGTAACTAGCTATATATAGGGGTGGGAGGACGACCTAGGGGTGCCTAGGGTCGTGCTCCACCAGCTTGGGGCGCACCCCACATGGGCCCCACCTGGGCCGGGGTCCCAAATGAAGTTACAAGCCCATAGGCCCATTACAGGTGTCGCAGCACCTTGTTTCTTTAGTTGCTGCCGACTGAGATGGAATTTGGCAATGAGGCTTGATGCATTGGAAAGAGGACTCCGAGAGCTTTCCATCAAGTACTCACGGGCCGAAAACGGAGGTCGTATGGAGCTTCGGCGGCCGTTTGAAGTCAGCAGTGTAGCAGGTGGCCGAATTGGATTTTGGCACTTGGAGGACTCGAACTTGATATCTTGTTGTTCATCCATGATGTGAGCAACGGATGTATCCGTAGTAGCCATGGTGACATCAACTCTTCACCACCACCAACTCATTTCTCCATCAAACTCTCCACTCGATCTCCTCTCCGTCTCTACCGCTTCTCTTTTTTCTCCTCTGCACCATTGTCATCTTGTCTCCTGGTGCTCGACGAGGCGTCGTCTAATAGCTGGAAAAACAAAAATGCTTTGGTTACTTACCCAACGGTGTCCTGTCGAGGGGTGATCGGGATGACGCCGGCCCGGCTGGTGAGACCCACCGTCGGCTTAATCCCGACCACCGAATTCCACGACGCCGGGCAGATTATCGACCCATCTGTCTCCGTCCCCAGCGTCACCGCCGCCATGTTCGCCGCCGCGGCCACCGCCGAACCGCTGCTCGACCAGCACGGGGTAGCCGTGACCACGTACGGGTTCTTCCTCATGGACAATTCGACAAACACTTTGTTTACGCGATGAAATGCTGGGGAGATGACATGCACAGAGTTTTGGGGTTGCCACTACCACCACTTACCAGCGTCTCGCCGCCGCGTGCGCTCCAGCCGTTCGTCAAGGGACGGAAGCTGGACCACTCGGCGGGGTTGGACTTGCCGAGGATGACGGCGCCGGCGGCGCGGAGGCGGGCCGCCACGCCGGCGTCGCAGCGGACGACGGAGCCGAGCAGCGCCAGCGACCCGGCCGTCGTGTTGAGCCGGTCGCGCGTCGCGATGTTGTCCTTGAGGAGGACGGGGACGCCGTGCAGCGGCCCGAAGCCACGGCGGCCGGAGGCTCGCTCGGCGTCGGCGCGCGCCGCCTGGGCGAGCGCGTCGGGGTTGACCTCGATGACGGCGTGCAGCAGCGGGTTGAGGCGGGCGACGCGGTCGAGGTAGAAGCGGACGAGCGCTGTGGAGGTGAGGCTGCCGTTGCTGAAGCCGAGCTGGATGGCGTCGAAGGTGGCTTCCTCGATCTGGAACGCTCGGCAGGCGGTGGCGGCGGCGGCGAGCGCCATGATAGCGGCGGCGAGTTGCAGCGGCAGGTGAGACATAATGCACGTGCTTTTAGTGTCAGTATGTTTTTATTTGCGTTTGTTAATCGAGACACGAACGGCATGAGTAAGAGTAAGCACCGAACAGGGAATTTATAGGTATAGCAGTGGAGGAGTATATGATACGACACATATGCCATGACGCCACTATTACTAATTTTCGCACAAATGTGCTCTTTAGTTAACCAAATCCCACGAATGTTCGTAGGCAAAATTTGCTACGGAACGCTAAAAAATACAATTAACTAAGAGATACCGTAAAGACATAAATTAACTATGGAACACTGTAAAATAGTGGTAATTAGCTAATAGACACCGAACACACTATTTTATTATTTTTATAAAAACAGAGAGAGAAAGAGCTGCGTTTTGCTTTTGCTGAAGTCGCACCGATGCCGCTGGGATCTGCCCCATGGCAGTGAGCTGCCACGCCATGACCGGACTAAACAAATGGGTGAGAGAAAGAGATAAGAAAGAGAAGAAGAAGAAAAGAGAAAAAAAATAGAAACCATGAAAAAGGAGGAAGAAATGGAAAAAAATGAAAAAGGCGATGATGGAGTGATGGATGTCGCGCACGCCGCCACCGCATGGTCAAACGGCGTCGTCGCCCGGCCCCAACAGCCACACATGGGCAAAGCCATCGCCCTGTCGCGCCTGCGCGAACCCATCGCATCCACCCGCGCCACAGTTCTCGGCTGCACCTGCGCCCGCCGCGTTGCCATGCCTGGCGCCCCGGCCGCGCTCACCCTCCAGCCGCTTGCAGCGTTGGCCATTCGCGACGTCGGCCGCCCACCATGGCCATCTACCCGCTCCACCACTCGCAGCGTGGGCATCCATAGCGCCCACTGTGCCGCCTCACCCCTGGTGCCGGCTGGACCATGCCTAAGTATTAATTACTTCTCTAATACTTGCGCATGAACTTCCTTCTCTATCTGGAGTTCTAATACTATAGCACTTAGTACGAGTACTAAACAATGAACCTGTAAAGATGTAAATCTATCTTTCTTAGATGAAATAATTAAATAATATTAGAAAGGATCCCGAATACTTACTTAATAGAAGACCTGGACTCTTACAGAATTACTCCTAGGAAACTACACTCGTCGAGGTAGAAATCGGAAAGAGCACCAAACTTCCGAGCACTTCTCCAGAGCTTTCCCTGACTCTCTACCTATCTCTAATATACAAAAGATACAATAGATCCTCTTGTAATTCAGCTTAAAGTTGTGTGTTCTAAAAATGAGATGAGCTACTCCTTTTATTTGCTCCATATGATGGTTATAGGTATGCGAAATTTCCAAAATGCCGTCCAACCATCTTTGTAAAGTTATCAGTAGCATACACGTGGAAGACCAGGATCAAAGGCGCCAGTGGTGGTTCGGCCGAACCCTGGGCCCCACCTCCTAGCCTCTCCTTTAGCTAGGAGATTGAGTGGTGGGTCCTGATGGCAGTTACGACAGTTATGACCCATTCCATGATGGTTTCACTTGACTTGTGGGTCCTTCAATCCGTGTACTTGTGTCTAATTGGCCGGATGTATGTTTTCTTATATGACTGGTGTGTTTTCTCCTTAAAATACCTGCATACTCATATTTCACCAACACTAGTGGAAATAATTAGTAATAATCCCTACTACTAAGTTGGATATCATATTTTATATTATTATATGTAGACATTGACGGTCAGATATTATGATTTAAGGATCGTTAACAGTACCTTTTTTAATTAACCGGTACCTATAATATATTGTAGGTGTTATTTTTTAAAAAAAGTTACCAATAATATCAGTGATGATTTTTCTTTATAATCGACACCTATAATTGCTCAAAAGTGCCATTTGTATATTTTTTAACCTGCATAGGTGGAAAAAGGTTTATGAGTGTCGATTTTATCATTTCCTGCATCTATGGTACCATCCTTTTTGTGTGTTTATATGGTAGTGCCTTAGGCCCATTGGATAGAGGTCCAATACAAGCGGTAGAGGAGACCTTGCCTTCATCTCTCCCGTCTATCTTGGCTGTCGCGCAGATTAAACGCGTCGTCGTCCATGCCGGGTTGGTAGCACAGCGGAAGGATAAGTTGTACTTAAGAAATAGTTCGAGCAAGTAAAATATATCTTTTTTTTCTTTCTAGCTACTTTGGAATGGTCAAAACATCCTTTTCTGGCAGGACAATTGGCTTAATGGAGCCAATCCGAGTCTCCGAGAGTTAAGAGTAGGAGAACGGTAACAGTTTAATTTAGACGAGGTGTTTTATAATGATCTCTTGCAGTGATAAAATCTATCCAAACTGTTTATATTTGGCAAAATTTACTGGAAGGCATTGTGATTTTGTGATTTTAGCTGCTGAACATGATAAAAGTTAATCTATCTATTTTTAGTAGAATAGGAGAAAGAAGTTGTGCGAAATATCAAAACTGCCCTTAGCCCCTTCCTCCATGTTTCCATTCTCTGATCGGCCCCGAGGCGAGCTGTCGGTGGCTGGAATTTTTACAATTTGGTCTTTTTAAAAAACTTATTTCACAAATAGATCCCAAAAGAACTTACCTAAAAATGATCCTTTTTGGGTGCCAGAGTCGCTGGCGCCGTTGTCGTCCTCCAGCCACCGTAGCTGGTCGGTGCCGAGGTGGCAGGGGGAGCGCACTAATGTGGCTGGCGCCGCCCATCCCCCCAGCCCGCCCACCATTTTTCCTCTCCTCTCCTCTCTAGTGTAGATGTGCAACATTTTTTATTTTGTATTATTTTTTTTGGTATTTTCTTCACAAGAACCAACCATGTGACTTGTAGATTTCGAACATTCTTGGGCCTTTTTTTACATCTTTTATATCCTATAAACACAAAAAGTTGGGGTTTGTATTTTTTTTGTTACATTTGGGTGCCATTTCTTAAAACAGGCGTAACTTTCTCATACGGACTCGGAATCAGGCAAATAATATATCCACGGTCATTTACAAATTAGAACCTCCAAATTTCGCTTGCAAGATTGTGTTTTCGAGGCTAGAAGCTTTTCGGTAGAGCTTTAGAAAATTCTATAAGTCACATATTTTGTCCATTTGAGTTTATTTTTTTATGGTTGGTTCTTGTGCTCTTAAGTGTGAAAAAATATAAAAAAACTAAAATAAAAGTAAAAAAGTTGCATCTATGTAGAGAGAACAAGATTGTAGAATTAGAGGGGGGGGGGGGGCGCCAGCATGCAAAACCCTTGGGAGACAAGGTTGCTGTAAGGTGACAAGGATTTGATGTATCAATGTTCCACTTTTATCATGGTAATTTAGTAACGTTGACTAGTTAATTTATTGACTGCTGGAAAATATTGTTCAAGTAAATTATGGCTATCATTTCATGTAGTTATATTTTGAATTAGATTAAATATTTAGTAACGTTGACTAGTTAATCTATTGAGCGCATTATGTTAATCTAATGTGTTCACATAAAAATTCTATTGGCCACATATTTTATTCGTTCGAGTTTAAAATAAAAAAAAAGGTCGCAACTCCACGGAGAGAAACAGGATTGGAGGGGGGCGCTAGCCATGCTGGCTCCCTCCTCCTACCACGTCGGTTCACGTGTGCCACAGTGGCGGGGGACTGTACCAATCATCCTGGCGCTGTCCCGTTCGACCACGGCGACAGCCACTCTGGCGCCATCAAAAGAACCATTTTTTAGATAAATTTTTTTAAGGGTCTATTTGTGAAATAAGTTTTTTAGTAGGATCAGATTGTAAAAAATTCAGCTGTCCGAAGCGCACCAATTCAAGCTCTCCAACCTGCACTTCGTCAACGAGCACGTGGCACGAAAGGGAAAAGGGAGTCCTGTTGTTAGTGTGCGGCAGTGTGGCCTCCATCCTCGGGATGTCAGATGAGGGCTTGCGTGTGGCATGGCGCCACCTGACGTACGCGCTCGATTTTCTTTAGAAGTAATACTCCCTCCATCTACTTTTGATATAGTTATATTTCATCTTGGCACACAGAATAATGATAAGTAATTCTACTTATCATCCATTTAAATATGATACTAGTCATTTCTCGTAAACAAGCGATTTATTAATATTTATAATTCTTAAGATCCATATAGCCAATCAGGTGTGTAAGAATGGAGAGTCATTAATTAAATCCGAGAAAGTCATTAAGATGATAGGTTGTTGAAAGTAGATGGAGGGAGTATGATTTAATGAAAAATCATAAAATTATATGTCGGTCAAGTGAAATCGTAAGTTTAGCACCCTATCGAACAACCATGGTTCATCGACAGGGACCTCTCGAACAACGGCTGTTTGGTAGGGGCTTTGTATTAAGACCTATCGAACATGGGATGTTCGACATGCCCCTTGCATGCATGCACTTTTTATTACTCCCTCTGTCTATTTTTGATAGTCATATTTCATATTGACACACAGATCAAGGATAAGTAATTCTACTTATTATCCATTTAAACATGCTACTAGTCATTTCTTGTAAAGAAGTGATTCATTAATATTTACATTTCTCAATGCCCATGTAGCCAATCATGTGTGGAAGAATGGAGAGTCACACATTAAATTCGAGAAAATCATTAAGATGATAGGTTGTTGGATTGAAATATACCTATCAAAAATAAAACTTTCAGATTTAAAAATATAACTATCAAAAGTAGACGGAGGGAGTATTATTTTCCTGAGCCCATGATCCTGTCGAACAACGGTGGATCGACAGGTCCTATTGAACCACCATTATTTGACAAGCGTTAAACTTACGATTTCATCTGAACGACCTATATTTTTGTGATTTTCATTCAAATCGTATTATTTCTAAGAAAAGTTCCTCTCTGCACCGTCCACCTCTCAACAGACTAGCAAGATCGATGAACAGCTTGTCGAACTCCTCACCTCCACAGCGCCGGCAGCGCCCACACCGGCATCCTGCAAACTCTTCTTATGAATAATGGGTTAATATATTTTTTTTTCTAAAAAATATTATTTAACAATTTAAAAAGTGTACGAGCGGAAAGCCAGGGAGATGAACACAACCCTCACATAAATCGCCTGTTCGGGCACAAGCACAATGTCCACATCCACCTCGCCTACATGCCTCCACTGACCACTGACCACTGCTTCCTTCAACCTCAACGGCCAGCAGTGAGATTGTCTCTCCGGTGACCACTCAACATCCATCAAAGTCCAAGAGGACTCCGCGAAGACACCGATCTGCCACAACAATTACTGACATTGACCAAGGTTGAGAGGATGATTTTGCTGTGCGTGAAGCTGGCGGGTGATGGTGCATGATCTGAAGACAAGGAAATGTAGAGATTTGGGGAATCAGGGAGGAAAGAAAAGGAAGGATCTGACCAGTGGGACTAGCTAGCTAGGGGCGTTCTTGGCCTTTTATATTTTCTCTCTCTCATATTCAAACAAAAATAATATTTTAATGGGTGCGGTGTTTAGTAACAAATAACCATATTTTGATCCAAAGATTGACTTTTGTCATGTGCAAGAACTAAAACCACGAAGTTACGATGATTACGGAAAATTTTGCCTTTATATTTTCTACTCCTTCCGTTTCACAATGTAAATCATTCTAGCGTTTTCCACATTCATATTAATATTAATGAATCTAGACATATATATATATATATATATATATATCTAGATTCATTAACATTAATATAAATGTGAGAAAATGCTAAAATAACTTACATTGTGAAACGGAGGAAGTACTCAATATTTCGCTTACGCATGTGCTTGTAAGACAAATTTTAAATTTTAAACTTTAATTTGTAAGACAAATTTTGGTGTTGATGTTGTAGTTTTTCACCATTAATGTTGGTGTTGATGCTATTTAAGGACATATTTAAGGACATCAAACTTCGAATTACTAAGGACATATATATAAAAGTTTTACTTATAAATTATTTTTTACTTGCTACTTCCTCCGTTTCACAATGTAAGTCATTCTAGCACTTTCCACATTCTAGAATGACTTATATTATGAGACGGAGGTAGTAATAATCAGTTGGGATATGCATATGCATAAGTGAACAGAAGTGACCGGTAGTACTTAAATCATACCAATTTATACTACCAATTCAACTTGTTTGGTTTGAATATTTCTTCTAGTTAGTTGCAGTCTTGCAGATCTTATAGATCAATGACTGGGCCGACTGGCGGCCCTTTAATGTTGTTGTTGGACTTCTGATCAGCTACGACAGTGCAATCTGTTAACTCCGGTCCAATGTGCCTTTTGGCGACCAAAACTTGGAAACAATCGCCTCCCTGCCGCTTTCATTAGCGGGAAAAATGGAGGATCTTGGACACCCTGATAGCTTTGGATAATACGGAAAGGAAAGAACAATCGGGTTTTCAACCGGGAGCTTCCAACTTGGCCTGAAGTTGTATCTCAAAGCTACGGAAAAAGCCAAGCTATAGTGACCAGGTAAACTATAAGTCGCTTTTCTGGTCGTCTCGTAGGTTGTACTTGTTTGAGTCCTCTATTTTGATAACGTGAGATGTAAGATTGTTGTTTTATTATTTGTTGTCCGCTCTATGTAACTGACAGGGTGTCACTTTGTCTGTTTACTTCCACAATTCTCTATATGTCTAAATTCATTAGTATCTAAATGAATGTGGGCAATGCTAAAAAGTCTTACATTGTGAAACGGAGAAAGTATAATATAGACAAAGGATACAATGGGTTGAGAACAATGGAAGGACCAAATAAGTATCATGTATAGGTTATTTGCACTTATAACATGCCTCAATGCCCCCTCACATGTGCACACGACATTCTAATTAGCTTATAACAGAGTATGATTAGTTATAATGTGTTATTTTGGCCTTGATTCACATGCACCGGACAAATTTGTGCACTGAATCAAGCGTTTTATAAGTTCGTGTACTAAATTGTATCAACCTATTCCCTGCAAAAAAAAAAATCAAAGTATCAAGTTCGTGTATCACCAATACAATTTACTCATATAAAAATGTTATTGGGATGTCTGAAAAAATGGTTTTAAATACTACCTCAGTTTTCATTTACTTGTCACTTTGACCACGTTTTAGGTTTGCAAATACTTGACACAACAAGCTTACCAAGGTAGTGATTCCTATTTTGTCCTTGCTGAGCCTAAGATAATACTCCCACTTAACTAGGGGCATTTTGGTCATTTTAAACTTGATTGCATTAGTATGTGGCGTGGCCAAAAGTGATTCATAAATAAAAGTGGAGGAAGTAGTGTATAACATCTAAGTTAAGAGGCTGTGTGCATGCTGTAGGTGAGATCCACCCATACACTTCGCCCTTTTTCCTCATGATAAGAGGCACTAGGGCTGCCGGTAGCACAGGTGAATGGTGAAACGAAAGTTTTATAGTGGATATGTAGATGGGGACATAGATATGTAGATGGATGCCGGTCTTTGTTTGTGGGTTAGATCACTTATATGCACCACACTAGTATGCTACAGAAAGCAGCGTCCCAACCAAACCTTGACGCTATCAGCGTTAGCGTCCATCCTTTTTCAAAATAGGATATCCTATTTACCAGATATTTAATTTTTGAATTATAAATTATTATAATACATTGAACATATAATACTCTGGACTACCAAATTTTTGGCATCCCTGAATTGGACAACAAAACTAGATGGCTATTTAGTTCCATCAATTTATTTGGGCAAGGATCAAAAAGCTCCGTGAATTATATAACACAAATTTTATATACACTACATCTTGAAGCCAGGCATCATTCGAACTTTGGTAGCTTGCTCATAAGCATAGGCCATTTCAATCAGCCTTGGCTCATAGCCCTTCAATCCACCGAAGCAAGTACCAAATGGCACTCCTTGACTGTCGTACCCAGCCGGCACGGTGATCGCTGGCATGCCACTGACGGCGAAGAAGACTCTCCCGTTGTCATTGGGCGTGACAATCGCATCCAACTGGTGCATCCTCATCAACTTCTCCAGCCCATCAGCAGACAGCTTATTGAGATGTTGGATTGAAGCTTTCTCCACCGGTCCAATGCCGTTGGTCTTTTCGGCTTCAATAAAATAGGGTTGTCCAAAATCTTTAAGCCTCTCCTGTAACAAAGCGTCATACAACACTAAGTTCTTGCGTACCTTTTTTTTTTGGCAATTAAATCGTAATTAAACAAGAGTGTGCTCAAATTTAATTTTCTGCATTGGGTTGCAAAATTTGCACTTTCAAGAACAAATTCATATCTAATCTTATAATTTTTCAAGCCAAGAGAATTTGTGATGCAAGATTAATTAATTAATTCAAGTAGCTCCCATACATACCTCCACCGGATGTGCCTTGTTGAATGCTATGACATCTGCAAGGGAACGAACTGGGGAATACAACAAGTCGGACAAATAAGCATTCAAGCTTAACTTGAACTCTGCTATCATTGCGATATGCTCGTTGGAAAAAAGAACATTCTGTACTTCAGTCAGATTTTTTGCGATGTCGATGTTCTCAATCACCATGGCTCCATGTTTCCTTTCATTAAGAAGAAATGACGTTTTTTAGAACATTAAGAAGATATGACTTAATAAACGATGAATGCTAGTATAATTCATTTTGAGCTATTTTAGCCAACATTTTAATGGTTCTGCGCTACACAATATGGCACACTTTTTATTATTGTATACCACTCAATTTGCAAGACTATATCCAGATAAATAAACAAAATAATTTGTTCTATGTTTTCCACATGCATATTTTCCTACTATATCCAGATAAATAAACAAAAGAATTTGTTGTATATGCGATAGTTTTTATCATATTATTGAATCGATCATTTGCTGATTACAGTGCTTAATATGATTGACTGAGTCTTACTTTCTTTTCTCATTTTTATGCCAGATTGCCAGAAACAAACAATATTGACTATAACATTTTATTATACTTTCAAACATCATAGAAAGAATATTATTTTACTGCAACAATTTCTTTCTTCATAAATGATGCTTCTAATACGAATATCACCAAAATCTTTTATAGACTGAATGCACATATGCTAGCATATGTATTATCTTTTAGAAGTGCTTTGTGTTTGTGTACCTCATTAATTGAATATGTTTTTGGTATGCCCTCAGCTGTTTCTTCTCAAATATTTCTTGAGTGAAGAAGCCGTTGGGAATACCAATCCTCTTGCCTTTGAATCCATCCATCCTTAAGAATTGTCCATATCCACCATTAGGAATGTACTTGGATGCTGCTCCAGTGGCTTCAGCGTCAAGTGCATCATACCCAACAATGGCATCCAACACATGGACAGCATCCGACACTGTCCGACATATTGGCCTATATTTTGTCAGATTAAAAATGTTAATAGTATATAATTACTGCAAAATGTCCACTCATTCATACATAGTCTTCCATATATAACACCTATAGTATGTCACAGTCCTAGTTGTTTTTCTGTGTAGTTACCATGAAGTAAATTTTAATGCAGTAACTTTTGTTACCAAATAATAAAAAGTTACCAATAGTTAAAACTAAATTAGCCCGAAAATGTTTAAGTATCTCTATTTTAAATATATCTGGACAAATACTGATATACAGATGCCGTAACGACTCAATGCACACGTTTTTTTCCTTGCTTAGAATGTCATATCCATTGAACGTGCGTGCGTATATAAAATCAGTAAAAAATGATGACAAATCTAGAATTAAAATGTAATGGACTAGATACACAACCGTATCACTAAGCTACATAGTTTATGGAAAACAAACATGTGTTAGTTATTTCTCTTTTGAACTGAAATAGAACCCCCACTTTTCATGAGCTCTACGAGATTTGTAACCAGCAAAACATCATAGTTAGTGAGGTTATGAGGCTAGGTGACGAGATTTTAACCTTTAGTCGATCATTTGGTACTCCAGAAGCTAAGGTCCTGGGAACATTTGAAAACTGTGATTGAATCTGTTTGGTTTAGTAAGAGTGAAGTCAAAATTGAGTTTGTTGATGCTTTTGGGCACTTGAATCTGTGTTAATGCTTAAATTGTACTCCCTCCGTTTTCTTAATATGTGATGCCATTAATTTTTAGCATAACATTTGATCATTCGTCTTATTAAAAAAATACATAAATATTTTTAATACATGACACCGTTAATTTTTTACATAATGTTTGATCATTCATTTTATTAAAAAAATTATATCAATGTTATTTATTTTGTTTTGCATGTTTTAACATTAAAAACATTAACTATGACCTATACTTTAGCATATTTATATTAATTTTTTGAATAAAACGACAATATATACTTTGTGCTGTTAGTGGAGTAGAGTTGTTTGGAAAATATCTTTAGCTAAACCGGGAGATTGTTTCATACAAAAGCAACGCCTTTGGCACTTGGCATCAAAAGAATAAAAAGCTAACAAATAACCTTGTGTTAGCACTTTTTTAACCAGAAAAATTGTGTTCATTTTTAAACTGAAAATGAAACTTGTGATTACCCAACACTGTCCTGTCGAGGGGAGATGGGGACGACGCCGGCGCGGCTGGTGAGCCCAACCGTCGGCTTAATCCCGACCACCGAATTCAGCGACGCTGGGCACAGTATAGACCCGTCGGTCTCCGTCCCCAGCGTCACCGCCGCCATGTTCGCCGCCGCCGCCACCGCCGAACCGCTGCTCGATCCGCACGGGGTGAACGAGCGCACGTACGGATTCTTCATGGACAATTTCACAAACACCTTGTGAGCTTATACGATCAAATAGAGAAGAGAAAGAAGCAGAAATTGTTGGTGCGGTGGTTGGTGTTACCAGTGTCTGGCCGCCGCGGGCGCTCCAGCCGTTCGGGGCGGGGCGGTAAGCGGACCACTCGGTGAGGCTGGCCTTACCGAGGATAACGGCGCCGGCGGCGCGGAGGCGAGCCGCCACGCCGGCGTCGCGGGGGACGACGGAGCCGAGCAGCGCGAACGACCCGGCCGTCGTGTTGAGCCGGTCGCGTGTCGCGATGTTGTCCTTGAGCAGGACGGGGACGCCGTGGAGCGGCCCGCAGCGGCGACCGGTGGCGCGCTCGTCGTCGGCGCGCGCCGCCTGGGCGAGCGCGTCGGGGTTGACCTCGATGACGGCGTGGAGGAGCGGGTTGAGGCGGGTGATCTGGTCGAGGTAGAAGCGGACGAGCGCCGTGGAGGTGAGGCTGCCGTTGCTGAAGCCGAGCTGGATGGCGTCGACGGTGGCCTCGTGGAACTCGAAGCCGGTGGCGGCGGCGACGGCGGCGAGAGCCATGATGGCGAGTAGCAGCCGCCGCTGAGCCATGAGTAAAGTAAGCAGTGAGCAGTGTCTCAGCAGACTCGTGTTTATTTTGCGTTGGTTAATTCAGACACGAACGCCATGAGCCCATGAGTAAGCACACTAAGTAGTGGAAAACAGTGGGTTTCTTATAGCAGCGGAGCAGTGGGACGCCTGACGAGTGACGACGCCCCCATTTCTCCATTATTAATTGTCGCATAAATGTTCTCTTCTCTTTGCTCGAAGAAAACCAAGTAGCTTTTCGATATTCGGTATTTTTTATAGATGAAAAATTTTAAAATGCAAGTGCAGTATAATCACTACTACAGAAATGGTCAAAAACATATTTTCGCAAATGGCCAGTGGCTTGCCTCCCCAAGATGTTTTTAAAAAGCCAATACTTTTTCAAGCGGGCAGCGCAATCACGCGTGTAGAGGCCGCCGCAGTCGTATGTGCCGTGCGCAAGCGGTTAAGTTGTGCCACCCGCCTACAATAAAAAAAATCATCAAAAAGAGAAAAAAAAAATCCAAAAATTGAAACCCTACCTCCGGTTTACTTCCACTGAGGGCCATTGTCGTCGCTGCTCTCATGCTCGACCGCCATCGTCACCTCTGCCAAGCTCAGCGACTACGGTTCCGTTGCTACAGAAGCCGATAGCGGCAGATCCACGCTCCCAGGATGTTGAGGTCGTTGTCGCCGCTCCCATTCCTGGCGGTGGTGGATCCATGCTCCTGAGGCCGCGGCTGTTGCCGTCGTCGCTCCTTCCCGAGCGATGAGGGATTCACGCTCCAGAGGTCACCGTGGTCGTCTGTACTGCTCCCGTGCCCAACAGCGGCGGGTCCGCGCTCTAGTGGCCACCACCGGATGATCTACGCACTAGGAATGGGAAGTGATTGTTGACGGTCATTATCGACCAGTTTCGACCGTCAATATTACCAAAATAGAGGAGAACTAGTGATGTTTGCAATGCATATATATGTTAGAATAATAATATTCCACTAGTATTAGGTTCACTAACCTTTTGCAGAGAATAACCATAAAGTGGAGGAGAATCGACATCAACTCAAACGATAAATCAATCGGACGATGTCGAGAACCAGACTTATGTATAAATGGGCCAAGAACTCAGAATTGACATGACAAACTGGGCTAAAAATCACAAGTCTGCGGAGAAGAACAACAGAGGAGTCCGCCAGCCAAACCATGGGCTGGTTGGGCCGGCCCCAGGTTCAGCCGAACCTCCCTCGTCGCCGTTGGATGCAGGGCTTCTTCTGGATGGTGTGGATTAGCTCCCAATGACGGTTGGAGGGTATTTCCGACCATTCCAACCGTCATAACCGTCATTGGGAGGCTATATAAACCCCTCACCTTCTCACTTCACTCACACACCTTAAGCAAAGCTCTCTCATATTCTCTCAAGTTTAGTTTAGTTCTCTCATATTCTCTCTCATAGGAATAGAGTATAAATCAGGAGTCCGGAAGTCTTCGGAAGAGTTCGGGTATGGCTCTAGTAGCTTTCCTTTCCTCTTTTGTAAGCTTTGTACTTTTATTAGAATACTCTTCTTTATACATTTATGATATTGAAATACTTTCCGAGTATATAAATGCCTACTTTATATTATGTTCATATTATACTGACTATACTGCTAGCTTATCTGGGAGATGCTTTGGTGCGGGTATAATGTTTGCATATGCAATTACTCTATGTCATGACGATGATATTAGAGTAGTATCTGGTAGTTTAGACGTAGTGTCTAGATTACGGGATATCATTATTTGGGGTTATATGCTGCGGATGAGAGGTGGGCCGCTGATGGTGACAGCTCACTACGGGTATTCCTCCGCGCGTGTATATAATCCTAAGTTAATTCCATAGGGAGGGTATTCCTCTGTATTTAGCCCTGGTTGTATGGTCATGACGGGCTGTTATAAGGAACTCGGCAGTCAGGGGTGGCTTCTCGAAGTACCAGGAGGGCATCGGATATATGGTATTAGCTAGTATATCAGTTAACTAGAATGTATGTATATATACTATGTATATTAGAAGTATAGGAATAGATTATCTTTCTCTTTTCTTTCTACTTAGCTTAGATAATATATTATGAGAATGAGTAGCTGATGCTTGTGTGTCACTCTACCCTTGGATTATCTTAACCCCTGCTTAGAATATGATTATCACAAGTAATATATAAATTATTAGTCAAGTTCTCTCTACATGATCTTCCCACGGGATAAAATAAATACGATACCCTTGGAATACTCTAGGGTGAAATGCTACAATGGTATATCCATGCGCTTGCGTATGAACTCTGTAACCATAATATACCAGGAGTATTTCTGCGCCATTGCTAGGAATTATATTTCTATTAATGTCGTTAAGAAATACCAACAGTGATGGAAGGAAGAGGTCGTTGGTTGATCAACCCCTCCCATTGTCACCGCCGATGCCGGATCCTTCCTAGCTAGGGCCACGGCCAACGGATCTGTTGCCTTTCGTCACCGCCACCAGATTTGCCTCAGCCGACGAACTCCAACCTCCGCCGGTGCCACCGCCGCATCACAGACCTGCATCGACTATGCCGAGGGTAGAGTGAGAATGAGAGAATGGAGATGCTGAGGGTAGAGGAGGAGAGGTTGAAAATAAGAAGCTGAGGAAGATAGAGATAAAATAGTGAGATAGAGGAGAGAGGTTGGGTGATATATAGAGAGAAGAAGAGAAGGTTGTGTTGATCAGGTCGGTCCGTGCGCCTGTACGCAGTAGGTTAAGATGTCTACCTGTGAGAATAGGTTTGTTTTTTTAGACTGACCTCTTAATACGCCTGCCTGTGAGAATTGATTTTCGCAAGTGGGTTAATACGGGAGACCCGAAAATTTTTACATATGGGTTTTCTTTTGGCCCATTTGTAAAATTAAAAGGGGTTGTCTGCATACATCATTTTTAAGACCGTCAGCTCATCCGCCTCCGCCTCCGCTTCCGCCGACGATGCGGACGCCGATCTCGCGGCGCCGAAGGAGGAACACGGCAGTGGTGGACACGGCGACGACGGAGCGGAAGAGGAACACGGTGGCGCTGGAGCGGAAGAGAAACACAGCAGTGGCGCGGAAGAGGAACACGGTGGCGGCGGATCGGGATTTCTAGGGCTACAGTCTGTTCTCACTGCACGCGAAGTTACGTTTTAGCCCTTCCACCTCAGTTCTTCACGTGGCACTGCACCAGGGATAGAATTGGTACTGCCCGGTACCAAACTCTACCAGCCGTTGGATTGGCCAGATCCAACGGCTAGGATTTTGGTACCGAGCAATACTGGTACCGACCGCTGTACCGTAACAACGCTCCATTTTTAAAGTAGTGAATTATAGTATAGTTACATAACTAGTTTATAATTAACATGAAAATACCTTGCACGACCAGTTGGTTAGCTCCATAGGCTTCCTCACAATCTGCACGAAACTTGATGTGACCGAATCCGAAAGTTTGTGGAAAAGAACCACACAAAATAATAAAGCAAATCCGATCTGCACACTTTTTTCTCTCTCGATCTGCACGAATCTATTGGTAGATTTGTCTTGAAAAGCACTTTTATATATACTTTAATAGCTTTTAGAAATAGTTGTGATAAAACATTTGCATTGAAGACCTTGTCATTGTACAACACAAGTAAAAAAGAATGGAGGTAGAATTACAATAGATTATATACCTATAAGATTGGTATTTTAAATAACTAACTTTAACCTAATCTCTTTTTCTCTCACTTATGTATTAATTTGTGTCTCTATAGGAGCACGTGCAAGGGTGATTGTTGCATGATAGTCAATGTTTTCCTTTTCACCAATTTCGTATTTATAATTACTGATAGACCTTAAGCTTCGGCAGGACTTGAGCTCCCTGGTTCTCAGACCACCAAATTAAGCTTCGTAGAATCGTAGCGGCTTCCTTGTCATCCACCCCGGGTAATGGTCAAACCTCCTATCCTTTTCTAGGAGGACAGTTGGCTTGATGGAGCCAATCCAAGAATTAGGAAAAGGAGAACAGTAGCCTACAGCAAAAACACAATGGACCAATGACATTCCTGGTGCACTTGGACTGGTATGCTGGGTGGCTATATACTCTAATACTTATCAATTTGGAGATGGCTACAATCAATCGGTCTCACTATTACTAAAAGACACATACAAGCTGGCACTATAGATGTCGGAATAGCTAAAATCGACACCTATAGTACTTTTCTCACCTTCAAAAGGATGAAAGAAAAACTGACACCTTTAAGCGAACGTGTTGGTTTTAAAGAAAAACCGACACCACTAATATAGATGTCGATTTTTAAAATAACCGGCACTATTATAGGTGTCGGTTTATTAGAAAAACGACAAATATAGGTGCCGATTTTTAAAATACCGACTCCATAAGATCAACCCGAGCCGACGGGATGCGAGGGGATATTTTTGACCCAGTGGGGCCCACACCCCTATGGAGAGGATAAGGCCACCTCCAGCCTCTCGATCCTTCCCTCTCTCTCTCTCTCTCGTTCACCCAACAGCTGTGGGATGGGCAGTGGTGGCCCGATGGGAGGTGCGGCGGTGACCCGTCCTCCCTAGTAGCGATGGGAGGGGCGGCAGTGCCTCCCCTCTGCCAGATCTAACCGGGAGGGGAGTCAATGACGGCCCGATGGCGCCCTATCCTCTGCTAGATCCGGTGGTGGCACGTCTTCCTTGGCAGTGGCGAGAGGGGAGGAGGAGGTGGTGGCGCCTCCCCCTCCGCTAGATCCGGCTGGGAGGGGAGTCAACGACGGTCCAATGGCGCCCTCCCCTCCACCAGATCCGGTGGGAGAGGAGGCGGCGACCTGACGGGACGTGCGGTAGCGGCCCGACGGGAAGTGCGCGGTGGTGGTGGCGCCCTCTCACCCGGCAGCAGGAACATAAAGGATTGATGTGTTATTTATGTTGATGTTGTGTTTTTGATGTTTGTATGTTCTTGATGTTTATGTGTGTGTTCATGTTGTATCTTGATGTTCTTGTCTATGAATTAAATGTGGTATATAATATGGTCAAGCCGATGCAATGAGTAACTCCCCATCACCCCAAGCCGATATTGTTGTTGTTCTTCAGTCTCCCCCCCCCCCCCGGCGCGAGCTGGCGTCTTTGAACAATTAATTCATCAACTGTTCCATTGATCAAATTTCACAATGTATCCACCAAAACTCCAGATTCATC